ACCTGGCCTTGAACACTGCCAGGGATGGGGCAGCCACAGCTTCTCTGGGCACCCTGTGCCAGCACCTCAGCACCCTCACAGGGAAGAGCTTCTGCCTAAGAGCTCATCTCAGTCTCCCCTTGGGCAGGTTAAAGCCATTCCCCTTAACCTGTCCCTACAGGCCCTTGTCCAAAGCCCTTCTCCAGGTTTCCTGCAGCCCCTTTAGGCACTGGAGCTGCTCTAAGGTCTCCCCTTCAGGAGCCTTCTCTTCTCCAGGCTGCCCCAGCCCAGCTCTCTCAGCCTGGCTCCAGAGCACAGCTTCTCCAGCCCTCACATCACTAATAATGAGAGGACAGGTAAATAAAAAAACCCTGAAAAAACTCCAAACAAATAAATAAAACAGTATGAAAATAAATACGTTAAAATACCCCCAAACCTAGCCACCCCACAACCAGAACGAAGGCCATTTGTGTGCATTTGCGATCAAAGTTTCAGTGCAGCTGCTTGTTTTCCATTAAAACTTCAGAGCTTTTTTTGAGCATTATCCCAAAACACCCTCAGTGAGATCATAAAGCATGTGCAAGAAAACAGAGGGATCAGGCCCAGTCAGCATGGATTCATGAAGGGCAGCTTGTGCTTGACCAACCTGATCTCCTTCTATGATTAAGTGACCTACCTGTTAATGAGGAAAAGGCTGTGGACATTGTTTGGACTTAAGTAAAGTATTTGACACTGTCTCCTACAGTTTTCTCCTGGGCAGATTGGCTGTTCATGACCTTGACAGGAAGATTCTTCACTGGATTGGAAACTGGCTGAATGGCAGATCCCAAAGAGCGGTGGTGAATGGCAGCACATCTAGTTGGAGACCAGTCGCTAGTGGTGTCCCTCAGGGCTCAGTGTGAGGGCCAGTGTTTTCTAATATCTTCACTGATGATCTGGATGAGGGGATCAAGGGCACCCTCTGTATATTTGGAGACGACACCAAACTGGGTGGAAGTGTTGATCTGCTAGAGGGTAGGAAGCTCTGCAGAGGGATCTAGACAGGCTGGCTTGATGGGCTGTGGCCAGTGGGATGAGGTTCAACAAGACAAAGTGCCGGGTCCTGCACTTGGGCCACAACAATCCTGTGGAACACTCTAGGCTTGGGAAGAGTGGCTGGAAACTGCTCATGGAAAAGGACCTGGGGGTGCCGATTGACAGAGCCAAACATGAGCAGCTTGTGCCCAGGCAGCCAAGAAGCCAATGGTGTCCTGGCCTGTATCGGAAATAGCATGGCCAGGAGGGCCAGGGCAGTGATTGTCACCCTGTACTGGGCACTGGTGAGGCCACACCTCGAACCCTGTGTTCAGTTCTGGGCCCCTCACTTCAGGAGAGACATTGAGGTGCTGGAGTGGGTCCAGAGAAGGGCAGTGGGAGCTGGTGAAGGTTCTGGAGAATAAGTACGATGAAGAATGGCTGAAGGTGCTGGGGAGTTTAATTCTAGGTTGTTTAGAAGGGAGGGCTCAAGGGGACCCTTATCGCTCTCTACAACTACCTGACAGGAGGTTGTAGTGAGGTGGGGGTCATTCTCTTCTCCCAAGTAACAAGCGAGACCCCTGGAAGTGTTCAGAACCCATGTAGATGAGGCCCTCAGTGATATGGTTTAGCGGTGGTCTTCATAGTCCTGGGATAATGGTTGGGAGTGATCTTAAAGGTCTTTTCCACCCTGGTCGATTCTATAATTATGTATAAACTATAGGAGAGAAAAAAAAACTACTGTAAGTTCCATTAGGTCAAACTGTTTCTAAGCTGTCAGAACTGTTCTAATTATTGGAAGCCTCAGCTTTTGCACAGCAGTGGAGATCACCTGCATGACAAGTCTGTTCGCAGCCCCTGGCAGTGGGCAAATGCTTTTGGGGCAGAGGCAGACCAGCAACCATGTGTAGCCAGCAGCACCTTCTTATGATGGCTTTCTCTCCCTCATCTTCCTCTGAGCCAACCTGACCTGATTTCTTTTTCCTAACAGAAGTTGCAGTATTCTTGGACCAGGAGACAAGATCTGAAGATCTCCAGTTCACATGGCACATACCCACTGTTTCTGAGCACAGTCAGGTTGATACCCGCAACAGATATCCTGCAGGGAATTAAAATCAGATGAGGAGGTGGAGTATGTGCAATTCACAGCACATTTATTCTCCTGCAGAAAGTGTGGAAAATAGCATCCTAGCTGTTTATCATAGTTTACATGCAAGCAAGGGTGGATTCAAACTGGTCCCTGTGATTTCTAGCACTGTGCAGCCCAGAGGGGTTGTTCAGCCTGGAGAAGAGAAGGCTGCGTGGAGACCTCATAGCAGCCTTCCAGTGTCTGAAAGGGGGCTATAGGGATGCTGGGGAGGGACTCTTCATTAGGGACTCTAGTGACAGGACAAGGGGTAACGGGTTAAAACTGAAACAGGGGAAGTTTAGATTGGATATAAGGAGGAAATTCTTTCCTGTTAGGGTGGTGAGGCACTGGAATAGGTTGCCCAGGGAGGTTGTGAATGTACCATACCTGTCAGTGTTCAAGACAAGGTTGGACGAGGGCTTGGGTGATGTGGTTTAGTGTGAGGTGTCCCTGCCCATGGCAGGGGGGTTGGAACTAGATGATCTTATGGTCCTTTCCAGCCCTAATTATTCTGTGATCCTATTCTATGACAAGAAAATGTTAAGAGCAAGCTGAATGCACAGCTTGCTAAACAGCCAATAAATCTGGGTTATATCTTCCTTCCCCAGTCAGGAAGCAAGGGAGCTATTTTTAAATCTGGGCTTTCTGCACGCACTGAAATGGAATGATTTATCTAGTGGCAGTCTGAACATGGCAGTACTTTCACATTAAGTAACGAGCTCTTACTGTTGCTCTGAATTAAATGGGCACAATTAGGCAGAAATCATTCCTTCTTCAGAAAAGACAGGCTCCAGTGATTTTTCCAGGCATTGACCTCTGCAAAGATTATATCATCAAGAGAGGAAGAGGAGCAATGCAACCTGAATGGTGGGGAGAGCAGCGCACCAGTAGCTTTGTGGAAAGTCTTCCATTTCACTTCAGAACTGGGTGAAACTTCGGAACATTTTACTGAGGAACAGGGAAAATTATGGATAAGGTCTCCTAATTTGTACAAAACTCTTTTTGATACCCACAGCAGGCTATCCTGCGGGGTACAAAAATCAAAAGAGGAGGTGGAATGTGTGCAACTCACAGCACATTTATTCTCCTGCAGGTAGCTGTTTATCATAGCTTACATGCAAGCAAGGATGGATTCTAACTGGTCCCTGTGATTTCTAGCACTGTGCAGGCCAGAGGGACTCCTTGCAGAACTCTGCTGAGGCAAAGCTGAGAGGATGACTAACTGTTAAACAGTTTGGATTCTCTGGCTGAAGGCTCTTTCTGCCAAAGGCAAGAGGTCTTCATTGCAGTTGTTAAGGAGGAAGAAGTCAGGATGTGAATTTGTGTCAGCCTGTAGCCTTCAGATACCTGCAGGTACCTTTCCCTTTGAGCCCTGAGTCTGTGCAAAGGTAGAGCCAACAGTTGCCTAGGCCTGGAATATGGAATGTAGCAACTTTTCATTTGCATTGCTGTGCTGTAGTGTCTGGTTTCAGCAATTAATGTTGATTTTTAGCTTCTTAGTGTGCTGGGAAGCAGTGGTCTTCATTGCTAAAAATAAGCAGGCATGTTTCTAGCATATAATCTTTCTGTACCTGACTTGTGGGGAGCTACAATTTACATGTATTGGTCTTAACAGTTGCAGGTGATTCTGTGTTTGTGTTCAGAACGTATCAGATTCAAGTTTGCTCCTGCTGTGAATATTTTCTTTAACTCTTAGTGTTCTGTAGGGGTCTGTTGATACTTCTGTTGTATTTCTTCTGTGTATTCCTGCTGCACGCTTGCAAAGGGACTGAGATGGGATTTTATTCATTGGTGGCATTCCTGTTTCTAACCAGAAGTGGAGAATGCTAAGGGAAGCTGAGTTTGTATACCAGAGGATGTGGCTTTCCCAGCTAGGCTGCTAGATAGATGGAACCAGAAACAAAATACGTAACCTGTGTAGCTGAATTGGTAGGCAGCTTCTTTCATGAGCTCACCTTTGTTTTGCACTGATTTAGAACTGTTTGGAAAGCCATCCTGTCACTTCACAGGTACAGCTGCTAAAATATCTGGACGCTATTTTCATGTGCAACTATACTGCCTATTTTCCCATCTCTGAAGAAATTTCTGCTAATGTTTCAGGACATATTTTCCCCTTTGTTTTTATTGAGGATTTAAAATGTGGCTTGAAGGAAAATAATGTTGAAAAAATAAGTACAGTGAGCCATTCACACAACTAGATAGTGCTAGCTCAATTTATTTAGGTGTCTTTGTATAGTCACAAAAGATCTAAAGATCATCCTCCATCAGTATATTAATTTTTTAATTTTTTTTTTTTTTTAGGTCTTTCTTTGAGGTCTTGCAAGTCTTGAGGCTGAGGGGAGGGAACATTTTATAAGTCAACCACAGTTGCTATTTCTTTCTACCTGGGTCTTGGATTTCATTTGAAGTTTAACTCAGTCTCTCTCTCCAAAGGGTTTCATTAGAACATATTTCCAAATTATTGTATTGGGCATAAAGGGAAGGTCTGTTGAAAAACAGCAGCAAATACATGTCCAAATGTCTGGAGTCATCTGCATCTGGCTGTCTCTTGTGAAAAGGTCTGTCTTGTTTAAGCGTTAACAGATTCAGGCATTGACTTCTGATCTGGAAAGCCAGTGAGACACAGGTGTGAATGTTGCTTTCCCTGCTTGCTCATTGACTTTTCTCTGAGGCAGGGGTGAGAATTTGTAAGAGAAGGCAGAAAACAAAATCTAATTATTGTGTATAAATGACTTGGGTTTCTGTACATCATTTGGGAGAGTGGAGGAGGTGGGAGGAAAAATTTATTTGAATAGAATCTAATTGATTAGTGCACATAAGAAAAAATAATTATATCTGTCCAAATCACCATCATTGTGGGGTTCATTTGTTTTTCCAGGTCAATCAGAATGTGGAGATCCAAAGGGCCCGTCTACGAGATGATATTAAGGAATATAAATTCAGAGAAGCACGTCTGCTGCAAGACTACACTGAGCTTGAAGAGGAAAACATCTGTCTCCAGAAACAAGTGTCTGTTCTGAAGCAAAACCAGGCAAGTTTTTCAAAATAGTGAGCATTGCTTTGGTAGCAACAGTTAATTCCTGTGTTACAGCATGGTTCTGTTTCATTTCAGCATCCAACCACTTATTTTTTGTACTGCTTTTGAGACTATAATCTCTATCTTTTAGTACCAACAGTTGCCCCAAAACGTTTAAGTCCTTTCTGTCTCTATTTATACACTGTCTTAAGACTCTATTGCTTCTGCTTTGACCTCCAAGTGTTGTGGTTTAAACCCAGCCAGACAGCTTGTTCACTCACTTCCCTGCCTTCTTTCCCTCCCCCTACTCCCGGAGGGACGGAGAGGAGAATCAAAAAGAATGCAACTCCCTGGGGTTGAGATAAGAACAGTTTAGTAACTAAGGTATAACACAAATCACAACTGCTGCCACCAATAATAATAATGATAAAGGGAATAACAAGGGAAGAGAATACAACACCTCACCACCAGCCAACCAATAACTTGCTTCCCCCAGCCTGACCAAGCTCTGACCGACATCTCCTCCAACCCCGCAGTCTCAGCCCTTCTGGGCCCCTCCCCGTTACCTTCTGGGCATGACGTGCTGTGGTATGGAATACCTCTTTGGTCAGTTTGGGTCAGGTGTCCTGTTTCTGCTTCCTCCTGGCTTTCCCTCCTCCCTGGCAGAGCATGAGGCTCACAAAGTCCTTGGCCAAACCAAAACATCATTGTTATCAACTATGTTCCCCGGCCGAAAGTCAAAACACAGCACTGCACCCGCTACCAAGAAGGAGAAAAATGACTGCTACTGCTGAACCCAGGACACCAAGTCATTCCACTGCCTTCTCTGTCTTTGATGGAAGTGAAGTTTCTACCAGTCTGCTTTGTTACTTGGTTTAGTCTTTGCTACACTAGTTTTTCAATGTCTCTTTGCAGTACTCTCCCATCCACCCATCCGTCTGTCCTCTTCTACAGTATCTGTAAGCGGATATATTTCTGAACGTATGTTTTTAATGTTACTTATTTCTTACTTTGTCTCTCCAGTTGTGTGCTCTTCTTCTCTTGCAGCTACTTTCATTAAACATGAGCTACTGTTACATTTGCTTTATAATGTCAGACCTGGATGACTGTTCATCCAAAAGGTCACACTTTTAATTACACAGTTCCAGCTGTTTTCAGAATTTTAGAAACCTGCATTTTTTTGAACAACTGAAGAATTTTCCTGAGTCACCATTAGCAGAGGTAGTTAGCTTAGATGTGGTGTTAGATGTGGCCTTTGGCATGATTTGTTTATCTTTACCTGTCAGATGGGGCCTTGTTATTTTTATTCTTCAGATACCCATCATCCTCATTATATAAATTAAAACTTGAGATTCCATTGAGGAAATGGTATAATATTCCCAAAATACAAGCTCCTGAAAAAAAAAAAAAATAGTGTTAATACCACCTGTTGTAATGAGCACATAGCAAAAACCTAATAGGATTTGCTTCAGAACTCCTTCAGGGTTCTGAATGAAAGCTGCCTGCCAAGCAAGGTATTTGGGATATTGAATATATTTCATTTATCTCCAGGTGAAATTCCATGTTAATGTTTTTTTCACTTTTGCCTTGCTCAAATGTCCCCCAAAATAGGGACATTTTTATTTTAGTCATTATACTTGGAGGAGCAAGTGGAAGCTCCATGTTCACATTCTAAAATACCAATGTTCAAGAGTGCTGTCATTCTGGGTTGAGCTAACTTTCGCTCACATGCTATCTTGCTTGTCAGTTACTGGTAATTATTGGCTACCTGTTTGTATTCTGCAACCTTTGGAAACAGACTGCAGTCTTGAATATTTGAGCTCATATATAGACATATATAGAACAAAGAGCTAATTCTGTTCATGGCAGTGGATTATTGCTAATCTTACTTGATGAATTTCAGTAAGCTTTCATTATCCTACTGACAAACTAGAAGAAGCCATCAAGTTTTCCCAGGCATAACTTGCAAAACTGAATTAGCATAATTGGTTCCTGGTTTTTAAATCATGTGTGGTTCAGCACCACCAGGTTGGTATATGTTGGCATCTAAAACTCCTTTAGCAGCTGGTAAAAATGTGTCATGTGTCATGTTTTCCTTTCAAGGTTAAGATAAAGTACTCTTTAGGGATTTTTTTTTTGTCCAAGGGATTCAAAATTTTACCCCAGCTGTTGGTGTTCATAACTTCAGTGTAAGAGAGGTTTAAAAAAAGGTGATTTTATACATAAAACTTAGACATGACATCAAATTTCGTGTAGCAGCATTGGGAGTCTAAAGTGTAGAGTCTATGTATTGTAGCTCTCTCAAAATGTGCTGAAATGATGATGGTGACAGAGATGATAAAATGTTTTATTTTGAATATCTAAAGCAGAGTTCGCTGCATCCCAACAGTTTTAAGCCTGGTGGGATATTCTATCAGCAGTGCAGCAGAGTGTCAGAAGCATAACTTTGTAATGCTGGATTTTGAAAATGTTGAGCTTGAATTTGTGTTAAGGTTGGACAGGGAATTTGTTAATCAAACAGAGAAGGAGTTTTCATAATGTGCTAAGAAAGCCTGTTTTGTGATTCCTTTATCACATCCTATATCTCCCATGTATTTCAATTAAGCTGGAATAGATCAGCTTGTTTATGGTTTGCTTAGAAATTTTCTTCCATCCTCTTTGTGAAGGTAAGTAGTGCAAGCAGCTTAGAGTGAAAGTGCCAAAACTAGACTCTAGTACTGAAAAAAATGAATCTATTCTCACCATATTTGCTGAACCAAACATTCAAAAGTAAAATTATTTGGTGCCTTGCAAGGCAGACATTTTCATTACTGTTCCCCTGTGCCCCCCTGTGTTTGTATAATCTCCAGGTGGAGTTTGAAGGCCTGAAACATGAAATCAAAAGGCTTGAAGAGGAAACAGAATTTCTCAACAGCCAGCTAGAAGATGCCATACGGCTGAAGGAGATCTCCGAACGTCAGCTTGAGGAAGCCTTAGAGACACTGAAGACAGAGCGGGAACAGAAGAACACCCTTCGTAAGGAGCTCTCTCACTACATGAACATCAATGACTCCATGTACAACAGCCACCTAAATATTTCTTTAGATGGTCTTAAGTTCAGTGATGAGGCCACAGAGCCCAATAATGATGAAATCATGAATGGATTCGAACAAAACTGCCTCAGCAAACTCAGCAATGGCAAGAATAGTACATCAACACCCAAGAAAAATGAAAGCTTCCCACCAGCCCCAAGTCTGGTTTCAGATCTTCTAAGTGAATTAAACATTTCTGAAATCCAGAAGCTGAAACAACAGCTTGTACAGGTATATGGGCTTCCTAAACAACTGTGTACTTCCAGATAGCTGCTAGAGTTTACTGGGGTTGTTATTTCAGTCTTTTCAGTGTCTCACATGGACTGCATACAGTATGAACTATGTTTGTAAAGGCTCTGATTGATTTAGAACTTGAGGATGTTAAAAATTTGCCAGAGAAAAAATGCAGCATGCTGCTGTTTGTATGTGCAGAAAAACTAGCAGTCTTGTCCTATGTTTGAAGGACAATCGTAGTGCATCTTCTGTGCAGTACGTGGTGTGTCTACTTCATTGTGTCCCTAGCGAGAAAGACAATACTTTGTTTGAAAACTGATAGTTACCCCAGTCATCTTCCTCAAAAGTTTTATACATCAGAACTCCTTTCTCTAATTAGTTCAAAGAACATGAAATTTTTATCAGGACCAAGCATTTCTATGATACATTTGTGCTTTTGGGAGGTTGGAGAGTTTGAAACACAGTGTATATTTATGTTGCCCAGAAATGTTATAAAGTTTTGTCAAGCACTTTTTAAGTTTTCCATAGAAAAAGCCTTTGTGGAAAAAATAAATGGATTTTTTTAAAATGAGACCTTTCAGAGGAGAAAGTTTCAGTATTTCTGAGTCTTTTCATGAAACTCCAAGTTTCCACCATAGGCTAGCTGCAAGTTTTCTAATTGTTTTTTTCTAATGCTATTTCTCATAACTTGATAATTTGAAAGATAAAAGTAAACTTTTGCTTATCTTCAGTTGGAAGAATATTTTCCCACTGAGACCATTGGCTATGGAAGAATGTATAATATGGATTTTGAAGTGAAAATGAGAAGGAATTGTCAAGGAACACTGTGCTCGAGATAGCTTTAGAATAAATGAAATAGCTTTTTAATAAATTAAAAATAAATAACCTTTAGAATAAATTAAATAGCACATGTAATGTTCAAGTGGTTGGGTTTCTGTAACCATGTGGATCTTGGCTAAATTGCTGTCTTTTGTAATAAAACCATTAAAGTGATAGTTTCCTTTATGTATGTGTTTGTGTTCATGCATTTCAGATGGAAAGAGAAAAGGTGAACTTGTTAACAACACTACAGGAATTGCAGAAGCAGTTGGAAAATACACGGGGGGCCCTCTCAGAGCAGCATGAAAAGGTTGGCAGACTCACAGAAAACCTAAACGCAATGAAGAAACTCCAGGTTAGCAAGGAACATCAGTCTGCCCTTGACAATGAGAAGGACAGAGACAGCCATGAAGATGGAGACTATTATGAAGTTGATATCAATGGGCCGGAGATCCTGGAATGCAAGTACAAAGTGGCTGTGGCAGAAATTACTGACCTAAAAGAAGAGCTCAAAAATCTTAAGGCCAAATACAAAGAATGTGAGTCTAAGTATGAGGAAGAGAAGAGCAGATACGAGACCGAGAGCCAAGCTCTCACTGAAAAGATCACCTCCCTAGAAAAATCCAGTAGGTATGACAGAGAACAGGTGGCCAGGCTGGAGAAGGAGCTGAAGAAAGTCAGTGATGTTGCTGGAGAAACACAGGGCAGCCTCAGCGTGGCCCAAGATGAGCTAGTCACCTTCAGTGAAGAACTGGCCAATTTATATCACCATGTCTGCATGTGCAACAATGAAACTCCAAACAGAGTGATGCTGGATTACTACAAGGAAGGTAAAGGTGGACGCAGTAGTCCAGAGGCCAAGGGAAGAAGGTCTCCCATTCTCCTTTCTAAAGGGCTGTTAACTATAGAGCTAGGAAAAGCAGAGAATGGAAGTGGTGACAGCAGTCCATCTCCAGTGTCATTGCTGCCATCACCTGTGTCAGATCCTCAGAAGGAACCAATGAATATTTACAATTTGATTGCTATAATCCGGGATCAGATCAAACACCTGCAAGCTGCTGTAGACAGAACCACCGAGTTGTCCAGGCAGCGTGTTGCCACTCAAGAACTTGGGCCAGTGGTGGACAAAGACAAAGAAGCACTCATGGAAGAAATCCTGAAGTTGAAGTCCCTGCTGAGCACCAAGAGAGAACAGATAGCAACTCTGAGAACCGTACTGAAGGCCAACAAACAGGTAGCTAGGTCTAAGAGATGTGAAGATTATAGTGTCAGGGAGTTAAGTCATAAACACAAGAGAATGAATCACTGCCATACCCTCAGCTCAGTAGGGCTTTTGTTGCTGGTACTTGTTTGGTACCAGACTGAAGCAGGCTGTTTCATTAGAGGCACACTGCTGTCCTACTGTAAAGCTCAGGATAGTGGCTTTAACTGATTTTTGCTTGTCACATACTCATGAGGTTATTTATTAATCTTACTGCCTGTCTGAATTTTATCAGATTATATTTCATGTAAGACACCTAAAATGAAGAGGTAAATCTTACTTTCTACTTGAAAGAATCCTAGGAGTAACCTAATTCTAGTATTAATTTTGAGTAGTAACTCAAAATAATTAAGTACTCTTCTCTCTCAAACTGCAAAATAAAAGCCTGCTAAGACGAGGATGTGATATAAGAGCATGGTCCAAATAACAGGGGTGGAAAGGTTAAAAGTAGGGCTTGGGGATTGGTCTGTGCCATTTGATACACCTTAGTGCAGTAGATGAAAATAACTGCCATTAAGACACATGTGACATGCTTCATTGTCTCCTCTGAAGTTAAAGTAATACAAATTAAAGTTGTCTTTAAAAAAAGCATAGTGTTGTTTAAGAAATATATACATTCTTTCAGGGTGTTTTTGCACATTTTAATAAAGGTGTCTCAAAATGAAAGGCAAAATGCTGTAGGGGTTAGGAATTGTGCAAGTGATTGATGAATGCATTTAAATATAGAGATACTAGATAGACTATTTTGTATTTGAAGTATGTGAAGTTTAACTTCTTTTAGTGGTTGGAGATGGGAGTCACTTAATGTATATTCTGTAACTTCCCTAGATGCTGCAGGGTTAATGGGAGTAGGAGACCCCTATGTCCAATCTGTTTCCAGTGTTCAAAAATGAGATCTTACTTAATCTGTACAAGAAAAGTTGACCAAAATTTTAACATTCCAGTACAGAGTAAATGTTTCATCATGTGAATAGTGATTACAGATGCCTTAGCCAGCCACTTTGTGAAGAGTTTCATTAACTAGCACGTTTCTGTTCTTTTTGGTAAACAGACTGCAGAGGTAGCCCTTGCCAACCTAAAAAGCAAGTATGAAAATGAGAAAGCTATGGTTACAGAGACCATGATGAAGCTACGAAATGAGCTGAAGGCTTTGAAAGAAGATGCTGCTACCTTCTCTTCCCTGAGAGCAATGTTTGCTACAAGGTAAAGAACATAAGAACTCTGCAAAATGTCATTTTCTTGCTTGTGTGGGGGAAGAGCTTAACACCCACTTCCCCATGCAGAGGAGAAAAATGCCTTTTTCCAGGTGCGTTGCTTACGGTGTTTGTCTGTGATATGTTCTGATTGATGAGAGAAATGCCAGGGATATAGTATGTTGATACAAACCAAGAACCTGTGGTGGTGGTATTTAATTTGGGTGCAAGATTATCCCAGGTTCTTGAAGCCATTAACTCTGAGAAGGAGTGACGTTTAACAGGACAAATAGAGTGTTTATTACACAATAAAGATGTGACTCTGCATGACCTGTAATAATCCAGAAAAAGTAAAGATTTTGCAAGCATCTTACTATTCTTAGTTTGTCCATCCTGCTTTTGCCATCTCTGACATTTCATTTACCTGCATGAGCTGATTTGGGTTGCACATGTCTTTGGAACTTTCTTCTGTTTATTTGTGCTTGCTGACATACCACATGCTGTAGATGTGATAAATGCTACTTTGATCTGCATGTTGCTTATTGCTACTATCACTGATTTCTTCCTTAAGTCTACATGTTTCTTTTGATGAATGTGGAGGCAACAACATCACATTACAAAATCCAGATCTGCTTCACAGCTAAGGAGCATTCAGTTGCTCCTGTGTGGAGATGATCCTGAAAGATGGGAAAAGAAAAATCTTTATCTAAAGGTTGCCAGTCCCAGCTCGGTGGGGTTTACAGGGACACCCTTGGTAATATTCATATGCCTGCATATTCCGTGCATTGCCTAAAGAAGATAGAGAAGAGAGACTGCAAAGGATGCTGTTTAATGTAACCTAGACACTTGCTTTTAAGCTAACCCAAGGAGATGGGGGAGTCTGTGTGCACTGTATGCTGCTGCCTTCTGTGGGCATGTTTAAAAAAAAACAAAAAAAAAAAGCCAACATCACAGAAAAGATTTTTTTTCTGTCATCTGCTAAAAAGTACCATAGAAAGGAATCAGAAGAGTGCTTCTGAGGATTCCTGAGGCTTTTCAGTATGGGTCTTTTGTGGGGCTGGTTCTGCAGCTCCTTGGCTAATCTTAGGCTTCCTGATGATACAGCCTTTCTCAGCAATATCAATGCATGTGGGTAAGCATAGAAAGGAAAAATGGATACCAAGGAATGCTAAAGGTTGAATTGCAGCAGCTCATTATGCCAGAGAAAAGAATGCCCCTGTACAGTCTGGATTTGTCCTGCTTGCTTTCCCCTCTCTCTCCTCCTCTGCAGTGTACTTAACATGCAGAAATTGCAGTCTCTTTGTTAGCTGTAGATCAGCGTGAAGCTGAGAGGAAGGAGAGGAAGCATGCTCTTAACTTTCAGTTCTTTTTCCTAGATGCAGAGAGCTAGCTGTCTGAATTACACATAACTGCAGTATGTTTTCCCTACATATTTATTTTTCTGCCTCAGTGTGAAATCAAGTGACTGTGAACGGTTTGGAGAGGAGCTATCAGAGACATGCTGGAGGGTAATGCTCTCTCTGCCTTTCTCTTGATGCATTATCTAGAGGTCAGTTTTGTCCTTTTACTGGGAAGACAATCAGAATTCCTTGATGTGGGGAAACTGGAAGCAGAATAATGTTTTTTCTGAAAGCGACAGACTTAAGAGCTCTGTCCTGGAGCTCTCACAGATGACGAGAGGCAGGAGTGAACTCTGCCTGGGGATGCGCAACCGATCCTCTGCCTAAACGAGCAACTGCAGTATCTGTAGTTAAGCTTTACTTAGTAAGAGCAGTGAAAAAAAACAAGGGGCCAAGAGCAAAGGAAGGCTATAAAAAGTGAGGGTGGAGTGAGTGGAGATGTAGTCTTCTGAGCTGCAAGTCTTATGGGCATCTGCATTCCCAGTGGAGGCATGGCAGGGAAGCAGCCAGGCCTCATATTTTGCCTGGGACAGCGGCAGTTGCACCGATCATGAGGAACTGCTGCTTTCTGCCACTGTGCCCAGTATTTCAGATGCCACAATAGCTATCAGGAGCTATTACTGCAGGTAGGGTACTGCTACCCCTTCCTCCCCAGTCTCTGGTCAGAGACTGGTAGTAGCTTGGTGGTTGGCTGAGTGCCTTCGTCTGTCAGTGGCTGTTTCATCCAAGTCTCTTTCAGGTAAGGTAAGTTTGGAAGGGGTATTCTTAAGTGCTTTGTCAAAGACAGCCTCAAAAGCCACTTGGAATCTGGTGTTCAGGTCTGTTTCATATACCAGAAGTATGTCTTCACCGTCACAAACCTGTGAATTGAGTCACTTAAAAGTGCTCAGTAAGTTGTGTTTTTTCTCTGGCCAAGATGTTTGTGTCACCAGAGCCTAATCACAAGTGATGGGTTCTTTACCCCAATGTGTTTGTTTTGCTGTTATGTTCAAGTGTGGGATAACAGACTGCTGCTGCCCTCAGATAGGTATTTTCACAGGAAAATGCCCATTTTGTAAGATGCAAGAGAGCTGTAACAGTACATGAGAGTTGAAGGCTGAGAATGAATATAGTAACTGACCTAATTTCCTTTTCAAAGTAGGTTAATCCCACTGATTTGACAATACTACAGCTATTTTTAATAAGTAATGAAAATACAGAAAGACCTCAGCCTGATAAAAAGGAAAGTTTACAAAACACAGATAAACACGTCAGCACTGAGGGTCTGCTCCAGCACTCTAGATAACACTGTATGGCTAAAATCAGGTTGTTGGACAAAGGAGTAAATCAGGGATTGTGTAAAGTACTATAGATATACATGCAATAGCTGTGTTGTTAAAATCCATAGTTTCTTAATTGAAACAAATATCCCTGTTATATATACAAACAGACTGGAAGCCGGGTGAAAATCTGACCTGTAGAACTGAAAATGGAAATATCTGCTTAATTAGACTGCAGTAGGTATTTATGTGTCATTGTATTGCAATGAAATATTTGATGTTTCATTAGTAAACTTCATAATCTCCTGAAAAATAAAAAGAAAAGAATGCAGTCACTTCTCAATTTAAGATCCAAAGGAAAGCTGAACATCTCATTTGTTTTACTGTGTCAAGTAAGCTTACACTTGCTGCAAAATGTAAATCAACAGCAAACAATATAGCAAATGTTCATTAGGGTGCAGCCTTCAGCTTTATTACAAGATGTGAAGTGGTGCTTCTTTTTCTCTACAGATACCAACTGGCTCCTGTACTTTACCAGCTCTTTGGAGCAGCTGTTTGAAAAGAGAATTTCCCAAAATAATCTTTCTCAAAATTCATTGTACAAAATACACTAGTGTGGTTACTGGCTTTTAGAGGGTTATAAAAGTATTTACTTAGTCATTTAAAACAGAACAGCTTGTCTTTATAAAATTGAACATTGTTCAGAAGGCAGTTTTACACTACACTTGCAACATTGAATTACAGTAATACCTGAGTATGTTCTGTATTTTAAAGACTAAATTCTTGCAAATTGGTGAAAGAAAATAAGGCTTTATACAAACCACTCATGTTAGAATTTTTACCATCATAGAATCATAGAACAGTTAGGGCTGGAAAGGACCTTAAGATCATCCAGTTCCAACCCCCCTGACATGGGCAGGGACACCTCACACTAAACCATGCCACTCAAGGCTCTGTTCAACCAGGCCTTGAACACTGACAGGGATAGAGCATTCACAGCTTCCTTAGGCAACCCATTCCAGTGCCTCACCACCCTAACAGGAAAGAATTTCCTCCTTATATCCAATCTAAACTTCCCCTGTTTCAGTTTTAACCCGTTACCCCTTGTCCTGTCACTAGAGTCCTTAACGAAGAATCTCTCCCCAGCATCCCTATAGACCCCCTTCAGACACTGGAAGGCTGCTCTGAGGTCTCCATGCAGCCTCCTCTTCTCCAGGCTGAACAGCCCCAGCTTTCTCAGCCTGTCTTCATACAGGTGGTGCTCCAGTCCCTGAACATCCTCATGGCCTCCTCTGGACTTGTTCCAACAGTTCCATGTCCTTTTTATGTTGAGGCCACCAGAACTGCACACAGTGCTCCAGGTGAGGTCTCACAAGAGCAGAGTAGAGGGGCAGGATCACCTCCTTCGACCTGCTGGTCACGCTCCTTTTGATGCAGCCCGGGATATGGTTGGTTTCTGGGCTGCGAGCGCACACTGAAGCCGGCTCATGTTCATTTTCTCATCGACCAGCACCCCCAAGTCCTTCTCCACAGGGCTGCTCTGAATCTCTTCTCTGCCCAACCTGTAGCTGTGCCTGGGATTGCTCCAACCCAGGTGTAGGACCTTACACAGTATAACCTAAGAACTAATTTGTTTCAAATAAAATCTTCAAAAAGGCAGAATGAGTTTTTAAAATGCAGTTTGCGCTAAGAGTTTGAACTGCTTCTGAGTGTTAACTACACTATAACAAAACAGTGTAAAGACCACATATTTGCAGTTAACTCGTCTTACTCAGGTCTTTGTTCAGGTATATATGAATCAGAGGGCTACTTTCAAAGTGTTTGTTGAGTATTCATTGAGTTTAGTGTGACCAGCACCCTATGTTGAAAGCCCCATAGAAGGAGAAAGCAATGAATGAGAATTTCCCAGACTAGTAGTAGATCCTATGCTGCTATTCAGGTTACTTCAGAGTGGTGTGTGGGGAGCACAGAGCTAGGAGCTGCTGCTGTTTCCTTTCTGGCAAAAATTTGTAACTTCCAAAAACATAATATGGTAGGCCTATATTATTTTTTAAACTTTTATCTAACAGCTTAAAAAAATAGGAAGATTTTTTTTTTAATGCACAAAATAATATAAATCCCTACAAGGAGGGAGTTTAGTAGCAAATTTGAGATTAATTAATTCATCTTCCTTTAAAATATTGTCAGAAGAAAGACTGATTCCTGTCTTTGTTATACAAAGTGCTTTTCCCAAGGGCTTTGAGGGAACATGAAGTGTGTATGTCCTGTTTTCCAATGACTTGGGGTGGGAGTGAAGCAGTTTCCTTGTCTTGTAGGTCAAAGTATGTTTCTAGATTGCCTGTAAGCCATTT